CAACGATCCAAACCGTCAAAATTGTTTGTATATGCTTGGAGATCACTTCAGCAAAAATTCACAAAAAAAAAACATTCAGAGATCAAGTAACGGGACAAAGCTTTTCAACGGTTATAAACGAAAAATCACGATTTAACGGTTATTTTAACTCCGATTTTGATGATTTTTTATAACTACACTCCTTGACCCTATATGAATACAATGAATGAATTCGATCTTCAATTTAAAATATTTACACTAGTGGATGTGGATATCACAAAATCTTACGTTATAATTTATATACTTAATAAAAGTATGAATCAACTATAATATTAATAATTATATACATTAATTTAATAATTTTATATCCCCTAAAAAGTAAAAACTATAATAATTATATATATTAAATTAAATTTAAAAATTGATGACCATTGGATCGGTTGAGATTAAATCTCAGCCGTCCATTTCATAATTATATATATATATTTTATTAAATTTGAAAAATTGATAACCATTGGATCGGCTGAGATTTAATCTCAGCCGTCCATTGTGTAGGTAATCAACACTCTCATTAACTCATCTTCAACATTACTCTTGAAGGCAATAAATCAAGCCAAAGTTCTAATACAATTTCATGATGATCGATGTAAATTGAAGATTTTGTAAATGAAGGTGTAAAGTTTTGAGAAAGACTTACAATCTTAAAAACAAAAACTCTTTATCCTTGCACATTTAATATTTGTAATAGATTAGTAGTGTATGTATTATTTTTTTATTAGGCTTTTATTTTTGAGTGTAGACATAGTACTTGAACGAGAAATGTTTTAATGTTTTGAAGTAATATTTTACGTGGCAATGTGTGGTATGTGCAAATTTAAAAAAAATATATTTTTTTCTTAACGGGTCATAACGGGTTGGGTCACTTTACCCGTTGGGTAAAGTGACACGACCTGTTAAGGACCCGTTAAGATAACGGGTGTGACACGACACGACCCGTTAAGATAACAGGTGTTACACGAAAACGACACGAACACGATAGACACGACCCGTTTGCCAGGCCTAATTGAAAGAATTACATAACTTGTGCGTCGAGTCAATTTAGCTGCAAAGATTTCCTTGTATTATTTGGTTAGATTTAGAATTGGAAAACTTTCGATGCGGTCTCTAGTTATTAATGTTTTTGACTGAAATTTTGTAATTTTTTGATTTTTTTTATTGAAGTCCTAGACATTAATGTAATAATAATTATTATAATTATTAATTAAAATTTCAGATTTATGGTTCTTTATAGTAATGAGATTCTAAATAAAAACTCATAACTTATGAAAATAAAAATATTAAAAGATAAATTATACTCTCCAATATATTATATATAAGCATAGGTACATTCATGAAAATTAACCAAAATATTATGTACCAAAACACGGGTGCACGGGTGCATTTTTCAAAGGCACAAATATATATATATATATATATATATATTATGCTTAATAATATTATTAAATTTCTTCGATTAAGTTTGATATGGATACATTCTCAAATCAACGAAATAGAATGTACCCTTATAAGTTTAAAAAATGAATTAGAAAAAAAATGAATTGATTATATATACAAAAAATTGGTACATTTTACATATAACAAATTGGTATATTTAAAAATGGTTATATTTAAAATTAAAAAAATTAAAAAAAAATATATGAATGGGTACATATAAGATTAAAAAATTGAAAATATTTTTATAAAAAAAACTAATGGGCACAAATTTATCCTAATCTTAATTTTTTTTTATTTTAGAAATGTTATGGATTAAATGTGACAACCTGTTCCTAATTTTACAATTTTATTAATTTTAAAAGAGTGAATTGACGAAAATGCCCTAGAGGCGAGATCGTTGACTTTAGTTGACTGTCATTTAGTGACGCATGCAAGTTACTATTTTAGCTTAGCGTATTCATGAAGTACTCAACGATACGAATGCGTAGGTGCATGCAGAATTGAAGTTGGGGCTACTATTTTTATATTTTATATATTTTTCGAAATTATTATATTATTGTACTATTATTTAATATTGTCTATTTGGTTATTTTAATATTTTCAGAAGAGATTTTTCTCTTCTTTTCTGTCCGGTGGGAACACATCCACGTGGGGGACTCCCCACTCCACCTATCACGAGTCTTCCAACCCATCTGGACCTTCTCTCCCATGCTGCCACCTCACCCCTCTTTCCCCTCATTTCACTCTGTCTCTCTCTCATCCCTCTCAGTTTCATCTCCTGTCTCTCTCTGCAAGTGCAGAGACCAGAGCCGTCCATCATCACTCGCGGCTCACCCCAGCGAACCTCACCACCACCGCAACACCACCTAACTACCCACGTCACAAACCCGAGCCCTGGACTGTTTATCCTCTCTCCCTTCTCCCTTTCTCTGTACAGTGGCGCCGCCACTGTTCAACATTTACTTCGGCGAGTTTCTGGCTGGTATAGGCGAATGTAAACTTTGAAAACGCCTAAGAACTTCTTAAATCTTGTTTTGGTGTACGATTAGGATAAATTTAAGTTGTTTTAGTGACATTTTGATGTACAAATGCCTCGGGGAAATCCTAGAGAATATCTAGCAAGTAAATGTTGCATCATTTTTGGAGTTATAGGACTTGCTTGTGTCTATATTCGGACCAGTTCACGTCTCTTGCAGAATAAGTATGGTCATCCAGCGGAATTATTATGATTCCACCTAGTGCCCCGAGTAGAGTGATGGTGGCACCCTACTCCATCTGATACAGTTGTGCCCGGAGCTAATGACTCCATGATCGAACTTCTGAAGTGACAGTACCCGAATCAATCTTACTTCGGCCCTGACAAATCTCGGTCCCACACAATAGTTTTAGTCATATTTATGTGAAAGGGAACTTTAAGTTTATTAATTCAGTTATTGATAAAAATTCTTCATCGTGAAGCATTCATGCCATTATTGAATACATCAAGTGGCTTGTTGAGGCAAACTACTAGTATTGACCTCTCTAACTATTACACTCGAATTCGGTTTATGCTCTTTGAAGCGAGATCGACTTTTCTCTTTACTTATACAAGTACTAGATGTAAATTGTAATTGTGAATTTTCGTTGTAAAATTTTGAGTCTTTGGCTGAAATGATCTAAAATCAAAAGCTGCTAAAATGATAAATTTTTAGTATGCCATTAATATCTCATCGTTGTATTGTTGACATATGATTAACATGTCATCAACATTTAATTTTAGTTAATTAAAAATACAGCACTAAATTAAATCATTTCAGCCAAAACATGTAATTTTTGTTTGTGTTTTAAAAAAGGAATATCGTAGTGGAATGATCAAAAAGCAAAAGAAATAAGGAATAAGGGGGGTTTGCCAATTTGCTGAATATTTTGTTCAATGGTATTGGTTGGATCACGAAACTACCATGCCGTAAAACACAAGAAATGAAGGCCACAAGTTCAAAGCAAAATGTCATTTTCATCCTTTCTCTCTGGCCTATGAAGTCTCAAATCTCAATTCTCTCCCAACCGAGTAAGATTTTCTCCTATCTTAATTTTCTCGTCTTTCTTCTCTTCTCTCACATTTTTTTTTAATTTTTTTTATGTTTACCTTTTTCATATAAAAATTATTATACTATATTAATACGGCTTAATCATAATCGTTCAAATAGAAGTAGAAAATGAAGATGGAAAGGCTAGGAGTCCAAGAAGTTGATGATGATGTAATATCCAATAAGACCGACCAACCGAACCTCCAGTGGACCTTTACTGCACCACCTCGTTGCTATTGCTCCGTGGTCCCTACATTCCACACCCCACGTTCTCCTCCCCATTATACGCAAGTTAATTAAAACGCACTCCATCCCACGTGTAGTAGCATTGTTATCCTACATTCCTCACATCCTAACCCTCCAATCCTAATCATCCTTACTCCCATTCACCCAACGGTTGAGATGGGCAGATTGTGCAAGATAAAGGGCAATTGGAAGGGCATAATTATAGAGAGATTATGTTTACACACCTCAAATTATTTTTATCACAATTTTTTAATTTTTTAATATTTTTTTATACATTATTAACACTTGATAGAAAAATAATAAAAAACTAAAAAAGTGTGGGGAAAGTAATTTGAGATGTATGAATATAATCTCCCTAACTTTTATATGTCATCGTTGTGTATTCTTTATATTAATGTCAGAGAGATTAAATTTCTAAATCAAATTTTGTAAACTAAATAATGTAGAGATTGATGATTGAATTATTATTTAAATGTTAATTAACGTGCTTATTTTTTATTGGTGACACATCATTTGAATTAAAAAATTTAATCTTTCTACCATTATTTTTATGATAGTATTATTACTTATTATTATTATTATTATTATTATTATTATTAAACAGTATTATCTGTATTAAGAGGAAGGAATTGAACTTAACCTTATAATGAGCTAACAATAATATGATACAAATTTACTTTTGATGACTATAATATTGTTCAAATTTATTTTTAGCGATAATTGTTCAAATTCGCCGCATGTTAAGCATATGCTTCAATAACATAATTTCATGAGTAAAAAACCTGCACATAATGCCTTATTAGACCAAAATGCTTAGAAACAGTGAACTTTGAGTACAAATTAATATTTCTTGCAATGGACAGGAAGAGCCCCACAGACTGCAAACTGCAATTCTGAATAAAGTAAACAACCCCCTCATTTGACCATAAGATTAAGAGAATTTTAATAAAAAATTCTCGATATTATTTATTTTAATAAAAAATTATATTTTTATAATAAAAAATTAATCTTAATACTATTTATTTTATTTTTTATTTTATTTTTATAGTTAAAATTTAAAATTTTCAAATTATTTTTATTTGTTCTGTTAAAGATCGAAGCTTTAAGTTTGATAGAGAGAGCAAGAAATGAGAGAATATTTTTTTAATTATAAAAACATAAAATCAGGAGTAAAGTAAAATGGCTGACATCAGCGTACCTTTGACTCCCCTACTCTCTTTCTTCCTTTCTCTCTCTTGTCTTGTTTAAACCCACACCTCTCTTGTCTTGTCCATCTTCCTTTCTCTGTGTCCTTTTATTCTCTCGCCACCCAAAATTCCGAAAGAGGGGAATAGAGAGAACGACGACGGAGATGGTGAGGGACGACGACCTCTACGTCGCGGTGCCGAGCTTCTTCCGGTGTCCGATATCGCTCGACATCATGAAATCCCCTGTTAGCCTCTGCACCGGCGTCACCTACGACCGCTCCAGCATCCAGCGCTGGCTCGACGACGGCAACAACACCTGCCCCGCCACCATGCAACTCCTCCACACTAAAGACTTGCTCCCCAACCGCAACTTGCAGCGCCTCATCCAGATCTGGTCTGACTCCCTCCGCCTCCCCCCACGCAACTCCACCTCCTCCTTGCCACCCTCTTCACCCTTCCAACCACCACTGCCCAAGGACCAGATCCGCCACCTAATCCACCGCTTGGACGCCTATACCGAACCATCTTCCTCCTTCGATTCCCTTTCCAAGATTGCCCAGTTCGCAAGAGAGTCCGACGACAACCGCAAAATCCTCGCCGAAAGCGATGGTTTCATCCAAGTCGTCGTCGAGTTTCTCGGTGGCAGCGGCAATGCCGAAGACAAAAACATCGGCGCCCTCGAACAAGTTGTGAGAATCCTTGATCTGGTGAAGGACAAAATACAAGACCGGGAGGAGCTGTCGAGATGGATGCTAAAAAAGAGCGGTCAGGATTGCGTGGCTTCTCTGCTTCTTATTGCACAACATGGAAGCGTGGATTCTGGAATCGCATCGGCTGGGGTTTTGGAATCAATCGCGGTAAACGCGGAAGCAAAAATCCTGATAGCCGAGAAAGAAGGGCTTTTACCCCAGCTGCTGAAGTCGACGGCTCCGGAAAAGGATCCGACGGTCATTGAAGCGAGTCTCTCTTGCTTGATCGCCCTGTCGACCCCGAAGCGAGTGAAGGTTAGATTGGTCCATTTAGGAGCAGTGAAGCTGCTGTCCAAGTTGCTGTGGAACCCGAATTCCACTACGGCGACGGTGGAGGAGGCGTTGAAGTTGCTGGAAACGGTGTCGTCGGTGAAAGAGGGGCGGGGAAAGATATGCGAGGACGGCAAGTGTGTGTCGGCGATCGTGCAGAGGCTGCTGAAGGTGTCGAGTGCGGCGACGGAGCACGCGGTGACGATACTATGGAGCGTGTGCTATTTGTTTAAGGAGAGGGCGGCGCAAGAGGCGGTGGGGAGGGCGAATGGGTTGACCAAGATATTGCTGCTGATGCAAAGCAATTGCTCGCCGGCTGTTCGGCAAATGTGTGCCGATTTGCTCAAGATTTTTCGTGTGAATTCGAAATCGGTTATTTCTTGTTATGATACTAAGACCACTCATATCATGCCCTTCTGAGATTTGAGAGACGAACGATATTGTAAATGACACAAATTTTGTTAGTCCAATACAAAGGAGAAATTCGTTTTATTTCAGTTTTTATTTTATTTTATTTTTTTATCAACATTTTATTTCATTGTGAACGTAAATATATTGGAGGGTTATTATCATGAATGGTTCGTACAATTGATGGTAGAGTATACGAGCGCGAGTACATTGACATCATCGGTAAGGATATTGAAGAGACATGATGTTGTGGTATTGGGTACGTAGTCAACCATCTCTGTAATTATGTTTGTGATCTTTTCTATTCCAGATACAATGTAGATGTACAATAGGTGTAAACAGATTTAATGGATTGTAGGATCTTTACAATGGATGCAAAGTGTATATGTACCTCTAACCTTTATTAATAAAAGTAACGGTGTCTTGCTCAAAACACTAGTTTCAAGTCTGTATCAGAGCGAGTTCGAAAGGACACCGTCTCTCACCTCGGAACAATCCCTCACCGCACTCCTCACTCAGTGCTACAAGGGCTTGAATGAAAATACTTATCCGACCCATCAAACCACCGCCCCAAAATCTTTCATCAACGTTGCACATATTTTACCCCCACAAAATCCCAATAGTTCATAATGGGAGATTGGTGGCCCAAAATGGGTTCTCTAAAAACAGCAGGTTAGAGCTAAAAAATGCATTTGGATCCAAATATTGGAAATTCTAAGAATTTTCACATCTTAGCCCTTCATCGTGCATCGTGCGGTCATAAATCATTTGACCTTTTTTTATTTAAAATTAAACACAAATAGTACCTAACGAAAACTGACCGCCCGATATATAATGAACGACTAAGATATGAGGATATGAATCTGGAGAGGATCCTTTTTCGAAAAAAAATACTGATGGTGCTGACAAGTCCATTTAAAAAAGTGATCACTTGGGAATGCCTAACATTCGTAGCCATTGCAGGTAATGGTGTTAAGGTTTTAAATATGTTTGCATATGTTTCTAATAGTGCATGGATAATTGATTCTGGTGCTATGAATCATATGATATTTGATTCTATACAGGTCTCACCCTTTAAACTATCCTACAAAAAGTTTGTTTCCACCACCAAAGGTACTCCTGCCCTGGCTTCTGTTTTAGTTGTTCCATATTTGGAGTATAATCTTTAGTCAATTGTCCAAATATCCATTTCCTTATCTGGTGTCGTAATTTTTTGAATTGAATTTTGTGTGTTGAAGGACATCCAAATAAGGCAAACCATTGGTTGTGCTGTTAGGCAAGGGAAGCTCTATTACTTGGATTTGGTGCTAAATAGTTGCATTAAGCTTTAATAGTGGACAAATCTGAGGGGAAGAACAGAAAATCTAACATTTGGTTTTAGGCATGCTTATTTCGGGTATCTTAAGAGATTATTTCCTAGTTGTGGGACCTTGATTTTCTTAAGTCGGAGTAAGGTTGATTTGAATACCGATACCTCAGAAGTCCAATCATGGGCTCACTATTTTCGAGCGGACTGGATTAGATAGAAAAGTGGTGCACCATTATTGTGTTTTGGGGCAATAGGCGATGTCCGAGCGACTCCATTGGAATGACCATGCTTGTTCCACGAGATATGATCCAGATATAGACACAAATAGATTCCTCACAAGTCTTTGAGTTCTTACAATCTAGGAATTAGCATGCGCTACAAGTAATCATAACTCTTAAGAAGGTGCAATATCTACTTTTAGATATCCTCTAAAATTCTTCCGGTTTAGAACAAGGATTCTATCCTAAAATGTTCTATCCTTACCTTATAAATACACTCATCTAGGATTTGTCTCTGGTAGCGCAATCTTTGTACTCTAATTATCTTGCCCTTTGCTTGAGTCTAAAACAGCTTACTGTTGGAACCAAATTTGCACAACTCCACAAGCGATGGTCAAGTGCAAATCTGAGTAAACCTGAGCAACCTGCAAAACAGTAAACAACCATGAGCAAGCCTGAGACTTGGAGGGCGAGGGGGTGCGTGCTGGCCATAGGCTATTCGATGGTCAAGTTAGCGAATGATTTTGGACTCAAGCACTGGGCGAGAGAATTCAAGTGTTTAGATTCTGTTACTATAGATGAACCCTAGGAGGGTGTATTTATATTGTGGGAGAGAGACATTTGTAGGATAGAATCCTCGTTCTAAGCCAGGAGAATCCTACAAGATATTTAGAAGTAGATATTGCACTATCTTAGAAGTTCTGATTACTTGCGACGCACACCAATCCCTAGGTCGTAGGAACTCCAAAACATATAGGATTTGATTATGTACTTCTAAATATTCTCTTAGGAGTTTTGATTACTTGCGGCGCACACCAATCCCTAGGTCATTTAGCGGAGTCATTAGGACTCCGCCTAGTGTCCCATAGTAAAGTGATGGTGGCACTGCTACTCTTTCTGATACAACTCTTCTAAGAGCTGGTAAGTCCATAATAGATTTATGAGGTAACTATATTCAGATCAGACTTACTCCGCCCTAGAAAATCATGGTCCCACACTTACTAACTTGACCGTTGGAGAACCTTTGATCGACGCACACCCCCTTTTGGATTTTAGGCTTGCTCACAGTTGTTCTCTGTTTCGTAGCTTGCTCGAATTTATGCATCCACCATTTGTGGCCTTGCGCATATTCAATTCCAACACCAGTTTATTTGCAAGGTTTGATGTTTCTAATTTCTGTTGTGATGTTTCTGAACTTGTAAAAAGCTGTTGTGATTTTTTCCAATCAAATTTGAATATGAGCTGTTCATACATTCTAATTTTTGGAGTCCATCCAAAGTCACTTCCTTGGGTGGATGTTGCTGGTTTGAAATTATCCATTGATCCTAATCATGTAACAAATTGATAAAGGGATCATAGGAAGATTGATGTACATAGCACATACAAGGCAAGACCTTACCCATGCATTAAGTATTGTCAGCCAATTCATGCATAAGCCAAGAGAGCAACATATGAATGTAGTAATTCAAATTTTGAGGTATTTGATGTTTGCTCCTGGAAAGGGAATTTTCTTCACTAAAAATGTAGATCATCGAAATGTTCATGAATATAATGATAATAATTGGGCCAAAGCAATAGATGACGGGCGATTTACTTTAGGCTTCACCTTCGTAGGTGGTAATCTTGTTACACTGAGGAGCAAGAAGAAGAATGTTGTTGCGCAATCAATTGTAGAAGCCGAATATAGAGGGATAGAACTTGGAGTTTGTAAAGATTATGGCTAGGATTTCTCTTGAGGGATTTGGCTATCTGCCTAGACAACGAATGCGATTACATTGTGAGAATAAAGCAATATGTGATAGTGCCTGAGGATGCAAATTTCTTCCTCCTTGATCTTGGACAAAATTGCACTCACAAAACAAATAACACCTTGGTCAAGGCCAAGAGCCTCACGTGCCCACGATGAATGTTTTAAGAGGGGGGGAAGCTTTGGCTTTGGGCGAAGAACCTCCGATGCCAAATTTAGAATTTTGAAAGAAAATTGTTTGATAATTTTGGAAAATTTTAGCAAGAGTGAAGACCTAGGTTTTAAGAGGAAATGAGGTTGAATATATAGTGCATGGCCGGCCCCCTTGGGAGAGAAGGTGACCGGCCTCTATGTATTTTTTGGGTATAATTGGTGATTTATTGGCCATAAATAGATTAATTAGGTAATAAATCCATTAATTAGCCAACTAACATAATTTAAAAGGAATGTTTTGGGGGTTACCTTGTGGAGAGGATTTGATGAAGATGGATGAAATAGGTTCTGAATTGTTTACCTATTTTGAGCACTTTTTGACTTGGTTGAGTGATGATTGTCTGCTGCTCGTGCATAGGAATCCCGGTATGCCTTAAGGGTATATTTGTCATCTTCTATCCAAAAATCCACGTGTCGCCTTGTAATTATTTTTGGCTCCACAGTTTCCATAATCCGGTTCAACATGATTGTACCAAGCACGTGGAAGTAGACAGATTCTTTATAAAGAGAAGTTAGATATGAAAATTCTGGAGTTGCCTAAGATTCGACCAGAGAATCAGTTGGCCAACATCCTCAACAAAGCGGTTTCAAATCAAGTGTTCTTAAAGTTTTTGGGTAAGTTGAGCATGTGCCACATCTATGCACCAACTTAAACGGGAATGTTGAGATATTGGGTTCAATAGCAATGAGCCCTATAAATTCCCATTCTATATACAATGTAGATATAATTTATGCATGAACATATTCAATGGATTCAAAGTATAGCTTAATTGTAGGCTCTACACACTAGATCCAAAGTTTATATGTATCTGTACAGCTCTTCTAGTAAAAATAATGAAGTCTTATTCAAATCACTATTTTTCAAGTCACGATGACTCAAAAACCTATCCCACAAAAACATCCGTGTTGCTTAGCTGCGTGAACAGCAACCCAATAAGCAGTTTTATTGCTTTATCTTGGAGCAAATTTGACCATGACGGTCCTTAGTTGAGATGCCAAATTATAATTCCGTGATTTCATTGATATCACAATATTACAAATATATACTAGTAAACTGATTTGAGGTACAAGTAATCTTAAGTCCACATGAATTTACAAAGCCTAGCCCAATAAAATCCTAAACGGATTTTCTACACTAACACAGTCACACCCTCCCGCTCCACCTACACATAAAAATACACTTGCGAATGATCTCACAACCCAACCGAAAGCACCCTGCTTTGGACTAGAGCTCCATGCCCCATTAGAATTGAGCTTCCCCTCCCCAAATGCAGGTTTCCTCCACTGTAAGTGAGCATAAATAGTTGTATTAACCTTTGTATGAAGGTGTTAGGGCTCAAAAATTTCACAGTCATACGATCTTGTGTCGCTCTTAATATATTTTGCACATTTATTGGAAAATCAATAATAAGCAAGCCTTTAAATACATTTAGTAATACGATATAGTGGTATTCCTCTTCACTTGTAAGTGAGAGATCTTGGGTCCAATTCTGGCCAAAAGTGAATTTGAACTACATTATTGCTAGACCATTGTGAGGCTAAGTCCATTCTCCCCCCCCTCCCTTAGTGTAGATAATATCATTTGTTAAAAAACAAA